TCCTGGGGGGTTTTTTTGGTCCCTTTTCCCTCTCCCGATGATTAAACCCGACATAAAATCATCGGATCCTCCGGGATCTGAAGACACGTCCTGCAATTATGATGGGAGAGGAAAAAAAGAGGCTCTTTTTTTCTGGGGTCATTTAGGGCCAAATCGGTAAAATTAGCAGAAGGGGGGTGGGAGAACCAGGCGTCTGAGTCAAATTCATCCCCATTTCCCCCAAATCCTCCTCCAAAGTTGTGCTAAACCCTTTTGTAGACCATTCCTTGGGGCTTTCATTTCCCCCAAATCCTCCTCCAAAGTTGTGCTAAACCCTTTTGTAGACCATTCCTTGGGGCTTTTTTCCCCCAAATATTTGAATTTTTTCCCCCAAATATTTGAATTTTTTCCCCCAAATGCTTGGATTTTTCCCCCCAAATGCTTGGATTTTTCCCCCCAAATGCTTGGATTTTTCTTCCAAATATTTGGATTTCCCTGCAAATACTTAGATTTTCTCCCTCAATATTTGGATTTTTTCCCCCCAAATATTTGGATTTCCCCCCAAATACTTGGATTTTCCCCCCAATATTTGGATTTTTTCCTCAATACTTGGCTTTTTCCCCCCAATACTTAGATTTTCCCTCCAAATATTTGGATTCCCCCCCCCAATACTTGGATTTCCCCGCAAATACTTGGATTTTCTCCCCCAATATTTGGATTTTTTCCTCCGGTATTTGGATTTTCCCCCCAATATTTGGATTTTTTCCCCCAAATATTTGGATTTTCTCCCCCAAATACTTGGATTTCCCCGCAAATATTTGGATTTTCTCCTTCGATATTTGGATTTTCTCCTTTGATATTTGGATTTTCCCCCCAATATTTGGATTTTTTCCTTCAGTATTTGGATTTCCCCTCAAATACTTGGATCTTTCTCCTCCAAATACTTGGATTTTCCCCCCAATATTTGGATTTTTTCCTCCAGTATTTGGATTTTTTCCTCCAGTATTTGGATTTTTTCCTCCAGCATTTGGATTTTTTCCTTCGGTATTTGGATTTTCCCCCCAATATTTGGATTTTCTCCTTCGATATTTGCATTTTCCCCCCAATATTTGGATTTTTTCCTTCGATATTTGGATTTTTTCCTCCAGTATTTGCATTTTCCCCCCAATATTTGGATTTTCTCCTTTGATATTTGGATTTTCTCCTTTGATATTTGCATTTTCCCCCCGATATTTGGATTTTCTCCTTCGATATTTGCATTTTCCCCCCAATATTTGGATTTTCTTCTTCGATATTTGCATTTTCCCCCCAAATACTTGGCTTTTTCTCCTCCTCCTCCTCCCTGGACCTTCTCTCTGAGCTCTTCTCCCCTTGTCTTCTCCCAGGGGCACCACCACCCGTCGCTTCGTGGGTCACACCAAGGACGTCCTGAGCGTGGCTTTTTCCTCCGACAACCGACAAATCGTTTCGGGTTCCAGGGATAAAACCATCAAACTCTGGAACACTTTGGGGGTCTGCAAGTACACGGTCCAGGTGAGAACCTCTGAGGGTGGTGGGCCTCCAAAACACACGTCCAGGGTGGTGGGCTTCCAAAACACACGTCCAGGGTGGTGGGCCTCCAAAACACACGTCCAGGGTGGTGGGCTTCCAAAACACACGTCCAGGAGAACCAACCCTTCGTTGGCTCTCGCTCCCTTCCCACCTCTTCTGATGGAGCATCCAGGTCTCTCCACTCCCATCCTAATGATTAGAAACTGCACTTTTCCTTGTGGACCTCTCTTTTTTGGGGAGGATTTGAGGACAAATCCTGCAATTCTGAGGGATGGAGGAGGAGGAGGGGAAGAACGTGGAGAAGCTCCGGAAGGACTGGGCAGGGGGTGGGGAAGAACCAGTTGGGTTTTTTTCTTCCCTTCCCTTGAACCCGGTGTCGTTCCTCCTCCCCCAGGACGAGAGTCACTCGGAGTGGGTGTCCTGTGTGAGGTTCTCCCCCAACAGCAGCAACCCCATCATCGTCTCCTGCGGCTGGGACAAACTGGTCAAGGTGGGATCAAGCTCCTTGAAGCACCCAGAACACTCTGGGGAACCTTTTTTTTATTTTTTTACCCCTAAATCCTCAAATTTGGGGTAGAACAGCAGCTTTTAACCTCTTTTTTTTATTTATTCTTTCTTCCCCCCAAACATCCAAGGTTTGGAATTTGGCCAACTGCAAGTTGAAGACCAACCACATCGGGCACACGGGCTACCTCAACACGGTGACCGTCTCCCCCGATGGCTCCCTCTGTGCCTCTGGTGGCAAGGTACGTGTCAAAGGGGAGGGAAGCCACCCATCCCACGAGGACATTTTGGTGTCCCACCAGCAGATCTAGCTTCTTTGGGTGTCCACCACCTTGAAAACGGGCTCCACATCTCCCTTACAGCTTGAAGACGGGGTGGGAAGGGCCCAGAGATCTGCTTGGACTTGGATGTTCCTCGGTGGGAGGACCACCAAGATGCTCCACCACCTCTAGGGACCTTCTTTAGCTCTTTGGTTTCAGCCCTCCATGGGTTTTCTTGGAATTTCCTTGCTGTGTCCTTCAACTTTTCCATAGCCACGTTGGCTTGGGGCAAAGTTCTCCAGCTTAACCATCATTGGGGTGGATGAGGGTCTCCTCGGGGGTGGATGAGGGTCTCCTCGGGGGTGGACGAGGGTCTTCTCGGGGGTGATAAGTGTTGGGCTTTGCTTTGACTCCCATCTTCTGCCCCTCAAGGATGGCCAAGCCATGCTGTGGGACCTGAACGAAGGCAAACACCTCTACACCTTGGATGGAGGAGACATCATCAACGCCTTGTGCTTCAGCCCCAACCGCTACTGGCTCTGCGCTGCCACCGGCCCCAGCATCAAGATCTGGGTACGTCAACCTCTGGGTCTCCAGCTGGGCAAGGTTCTTCCAAAAAGACTCAATTCCTTTCGATTTTTGGGGTGGGTTTTGGGGTTTGGAAGTCAACCACGGTTGGTTGAGATCCTCGCTTTTTGGATCACCCATCTCGGAGAAGGAGCTCTTCCTGGCTGAATGGCCCCCCTTGGTGGTGGTGGGGGTTGGTTGAGGGTCAAGCAGAAGCCACCGGTGCCCGTGTCCTTGTCCCCTGGTCAAGGAGGGTTGTGGTGACCCCAAGGGGCAGAGCCACCACGCCGTGATGAAACACTTTGATGCCATCTGATTGCATCCGTGTGGAAATCCAGAGGCTGTTTCTGAGCGATCCCGTTGCTCCTTCCACCACCACCACCACCACCTTCTGGAGGTTGGGTTGGATTCGGTGATGGAACCTTCATCTTCTTCTTTCTTCCTGTAGGACCTGGAAGGGAAGATCATCGTGGACGAGCTGAAGCAGGAGGTGATCAGCACCAGCAGCAAAGCAGAACCTCCCCAGTGCACCTCCTTGGCCTGGTCTGCAGATGGACAGGTAAGAAAAAAACCCCCAAAAACCAACTCCTTCTCCCTCTTCCGCCGTCCCAGCCCTTGGGGGGAGGAAGAGGAGGAGGAAGAGGAGGATTTGGGGGACCTTCTCCCTCCCTTCCTTGGGGTCCCTCTTTTCCTTCCTCCTTTACTTCCTCCTTCCTTCCTCCCTCGGGGTCTCTTCCTGTCTTCCTTCCTCCTTCTTCCCTTCCTTCCTTCCTCCCTTTTCCCTTCCTTCCTCCTTCTTCCCTTCCTTCCTTCCTCCTTCTTCCCTTCCTTCCTTCCTCCTCCTTCCCTTCCTTCCTTCCTCCCTCTTCTTCCTTCCCTCTTCTTCCTCCCTCTTCTTCCTTCCCTCTTCTTCCTTCCCTCTTCTTCCTTCCCTCTTCTTCCTTCCCTCTTCTTCCTTCCCTCTTCTTCCTCCCCTCTTCTTCCTTCCCTCTTCTTCCTTCCCTCTTCTTCCTTCCCTCTTCTTCCTTCCCTCTTCTTCCTTTCCTTCCTCCTTCATCCCTTCCTTCCTTCCTCCTTCTTCCCTTCCTTCCTCTCTCTCTCCTTCCTTCCTTCCTCCTCCTTCCCTCCCTTCCTTCCTCTTCCTTCCTTCCTCCTTCTTCCCTTCCTTCCTCCTTCCTTCTTCCCTTCCTTCCTTCCTCCTCCTTCCCTTCCTTCCTTCCTCCCTCTTCTTCCTTCCCTCTTCTCCTTCCCTCTTCTTCCTTCCCTCTTCTTCCTTCCCTCTTCTTCCTTCCCTCTTCTTCCTTCCCTCTTCTTCCTTCCCTCTTCTTCCTTCCCTCTTCTCTTCCTCCCTCTTCTTCCTTCCCTCTTCTCTTCCTCCCTCTTCTTCCTTCCCTCCTCTCTTCCTCCCTTTTCCTTCCTTCTTTTTTCTTCCTTCCTTCCTTTTCCTTCTCTTCCTTCAGGTCCCTTCCTTCCTCGGGCTCCCTTTCTTTCTTCCTTCCTCCCTTTCTTCTTTCCCCTCCTCTCTTCCTCCCTCCCTTTCTTCCTTTTCTTCCTTCCTTTTCCTTTTCTTCCTTCAGGTCCCTTCCTTCCTCAGGGTCCCTTTCTTTTTTCCTTCCTCCCTCTCTTCCTTTTCCTTCCTTCCTTTTCCTTTTCTTCCTTCAGGTCCCTCCCTTCCTTCCTTCCTCCCTTCCTTTCTCCCTCCCTCCCTTCTCCAGGGTCCCTCCCTTCCTTTCTTCCTTCCCCCCTCTCTTCCTTCCTTTTCCTTTTCTTCCTTCAGGTCCCCCCCTTCCTTCTTCCTTCCCTCCCTTCCTTCCTCCCTTCCTTCTTTCCTTCCTCCCTTTTCCTTTTATTCCTTCCTCCCTTTTCCTTTTATTCCTTCCTCCCTTTTCCTTTTATTCCTTCCTCCCTTTTCCTTTTATTCCCTTCCTTCCTCCCTTCCTTCCCTCTCTCCCTTCCTCAGGGTCCCTTCCTTTCTTTATTTCTTTCTTCCTTCCTCCCTCCCTTTCTTCCTCCCTTCCTTCCTTTTCCTTTTATTCCTCCCTCCCTTCCTTCCTCCCTTTATTCTTTTTCTTCCTCCCTTTATTCTTTTTCTTCCTCCCTTTATTCTTTTTCTTCCTCCCTTTTCCTTTTCCTCCTCCCTTTTCCTTTTCCTCCTCCCTCCCTCTTCCTTTTCTTCCTCCATTTTCTTCCTCCCTTTTCCTTTTCTTCCTCCATTTTCTTCCTCCCTTTTCCTTTTCTTCCTCCCTTTTCTTCCTTCCTTTTCCTTTTCCTCCTCCCTTTTCCTTCTTCCCTTTCCCTTTTCCTCCTCCCTCTCTCGGGGTCCCTTCCCCTTCATCTCGTCCTCATCACCTCCTGAGGTCACCCCTTCTTGGTGGCCACCCACCCCCTTCTTTGGTGGCCACCCACCCCCTTCTTTGGTGGCCACCCACCCCCCTTCTTGCTTTCCCTTTTCCTCCTCCCTCCCTCGGGGTCCCTTCCCCTTCATCTTCACCCCAAGAACCCACAGGTCCCTCGTCCTCATCACCTCCCGAGGTGGCCACCCACCCCCTTCTTGGTGGCCACCAACCTCCTTCTTGGTGGCCACCCACCTTCTTCTTTGGTGGCCACCCACCTTCTTCTTTGGTGGCCACCCACCTCCTTCTTTGGTGGCCACCCACCCCCTTCTTTGTGGCCACCCACCCCCCTCTTTTGTGGGCCCCCCCCCCC